TAGACGCTCTTTCGGGGGGCAGTAGTGACAGCCACACACACGCGAGAACGACGCATCCAATGCGAACACGACCGGGAGCCAGCCGGACAACGGACACACACGAAGTCTTTCCAGCAAAGCCTTCTCCGTTGATCAAGCCCGTGTGCAATCAGGCACATCTAACACATCTAACACATCGGGGGCGGGAACGCGCCCTTCTTCCTGTTGATCCCAAGTCTTGTTTGAAACGTGCTTCGACATCAATGTTGGCACTCTCGTTCCCCTGTTCGTTATTAATCGGACGAATGCCATGCCAACTACTGGAAACCCCATCACAAGGTTGCGACGAGCGTGTCCCTTCGTCTGCTACATTCGTTAGCACCAGCGATCAAGAAACAAACCTTAGATTGTGGCGATAGACAATGAAATCGACAAAGAAACACACCTCAGAAATTGATCCGACAATAACCTCTATATAATGACCTACTTATGTGATATGCTCGACGGTGTTGACGAAATAAGAAATTGAGCCTCGACCCCAAATTGATGTTTTCTTAAACGCGGGCGCAAAGTGTACCACACGGCATTACATCAGTCGCATACGCAGCGCTCATACAACATGTCGGCGACAGCTAGTGTCGCTTTGCGATATCCCTAACCTTATCATGGCGTGGGTGCCCTTCCGGGTAGTCTTCTCAAACTCCATGGGGGATTTGCACATGTCGCACTTCCCCTGCCCGTTGGAAGCGTGGCAGATCTTGGAGAAGACGCATCGCGAGTGCGCCTTCTGAGGGACGGTGCAGCGGCATCTCCAGCTGACCACGCCGAACTTGGTTGTACCGATGTTGTTCAGAAGGGGCTCCAAACAGATGTAGCAGTCCTCCACCAGCTCGACGAAGTTATCGTGCTTTTCAGCGAACGCCGCGATCTGTTAATTTTTCACGGAGGGAGGACGAAGTCAAGAGACCGGGGTTCATGAATACAAAACGCAGTGTATAAACAAGGATCTTCCGATGGGTGGTGACGCACATGCGACCAGTAAATATCTAACGAACAATGTTCTACCGGCCCGAAGCTGTTTGCCGAGAAAGGTTCACCGAATGCATTGGCCATTCAGGTGAATCTCGGAGATGCCAACGAAGGCAAACTCCCACTTTCAACGCAAGCGGGGATTGAATGGCAGCAAGCAGGACGTAGCGCGTTAAACCGCGTTGTTCTTGAATTATGATTAATTCAGGGCAAAAGCTGAGGGTTCTTATGTGACCCGAAGAACACTTCGGCAACGTGTGCCCGATCTAATCCGCGACCAGTTCAATGCCAGAAGAACACGCTCGTCCGGTGGTGTCGATCAAATGGGCATCTACAGCGCGACCGAGATTCGTGCTGCTGGTGCATAGACAGACAAGCCTCAAGACAATACAGAAAAACCACGTGGAATCGAGAGCAAGTGTGTCCAAAGACGATCGCAAGAAGCCATCTCAATCAAACAATCGTGCCATCGTGTTGACCTGGGTTTTAACCCAACATGCTGGTTTTCCTTGCTCTTGTGCGTGTAGCAGTCCCATCAGTTTTGGACGCCAACGAAAATCTTCCAGTTATTTTTTACGAACGAGCCGGGGTTGCACAGGAAGAATTCTCCACACATCCTCTTTATCGATGCATAACGGGTGAAGCAGTCGTTCCCCCGCTTTGTTATTTGTAGCCACGTCTACGCTGTATACTAGGATCCCAGTTCACGTGCAGATAAAAACGAGAATAGCAGCACGAGTAGCACACGTGTCAAACAACAACGACCTCATGAAGACTAACAAAAAGGAACAGGTGCAGCAACATCTTTGGACGAGGTGCTGGATGTGCATAGGTATATAGTCAGACAAGCACATCGGAGCGTACTTGACAAAAATCAATATATACGCTGTATGAATGTACCCCAGGTGGGCCACACGACAAGAGCAGCGCTTGTTGAGGTTGACTTCCACAACCCACAGATCCTGCTGCTCTGAACTGCCAACCCGGAGGCTGTAACTCCCGTCGATATTCCTGGCCGCGGACAAACTGAAACAGCCGTAGTTGATCTCTCACCCGAGGCGCGGATCACAGGCATGTCTCTCGTTCGTTGTCGTTGTCGTCTCGTGAGACTGGCGAACTGTGACTATTCTCATTTGTCAGCTGGTAAACGCGGCTGCTCCTACAACCAATGGTGGCCGACCTCCGCTTTGGGGAGGTTACGACCTATCACTCCGGCAGCGACACACCACGTTTTTTCGGTCGTTTAGAGCAGTACATGTAGGGCAGGATCGAGACGAAAAGAGCCATTGGGAGGCAGGAACAAGAGGGCGGACTGCTGTCTCTCGTGTCTTCTTTGTACGGAGGAAAGTGCGGCAAAAAAATGAAGAAAAAAATAAGAAGCTCCTTTCGCGGCCTTCCTTCTTCTTTCCTCCCATTGTGTCCTCGGCGGTGGATAGAGTTGTGCATCAACACAAAAATCAACCGTGATTGTTGATTAAAGTTGATTTGATTTTCTAATTAACAATCACATCATTGATAGTTGATTTGCAATCAACAAATCAACAAAACAACATCAACTCGAAATAGACGTAATTAGTTGATGATATCTGATTTTTTCCAGACAAAAGCGGCGTTGCGCCGTGTAACGCCATTTTTCTTGCCTGCGGCGCGACCAAACAGACAAAAGAAGAGGAACCGCCTGTCCGGAGATCGGGTGGCAGACATCGTTTTCCTGCACGAGAGCATGAAGCACAATCTCTGGTCCTGGTGCTGCTGCGGCTCATCATGTGTAAACAGGGGTGTCTTCAAGCCGAAAGTACAGATACATGGTACAACAGCAGCAGTACTGCTGCTTGCAGTTCACCGTAGGATCGTCGGTAGTTCATGATGTAGGTGTGCACACATACAACAATGAGATCATACGGGGGGACTATAATAAGAACATGTGTTGGGAGATTAGGACTAACATACTGCTGTAAAATTAGTTTACACCATTGCTTACGATGCAGGATGCAGAACGCAGAACAATTCGCATAAGAATATATAGGACTTTACCTGGTGTAAAGCACGCATGCATGCATGTTACTCTAATGATGAAGGTCTTGCATGCGGTTCCATATGGGGCTGACTGGTCAAGATCCCGCTGCATCGATAACCAGCGCGAAGCGGGTGGACAGCAGACACCGTAGTTTTATGATTCGCGATGAGAAAGTGAGCTCATGGGCCTCGTCTGCGCTGTGGAAGCTTGAATAAAATCAGCTAATCATGATTAGTCGATGTGCACTGGAGCAGTTGATAAGGTTGATTCTAATCGACTAATCATAAATAAATAAAGCCATTTGGGCCGAAAAATCAACAGTCAAAATCAACCCCCCCCAAAAAGTTGATGCACAACTCTGCCGACACACTTCAGAAACACACACACACCGAGCGGTGTGTAGACTGGCGCCAGAACAAATGGTAAGGACACGTATTGCTGAGATTGTCTGGCTACTGACAATATTGCTGCTGGATGTTTGGAGTCTACGACCATCAAATTGGGAGATGCGGCATACGGTGATATCCTGGCTTCGGCTGGGCTTGATACGACCATTTTGGTGTCCTCCGCTCTTTGCATCAGCGGTGCCTAGGTTCGGGGAAGAATACGTGTCGAGCTGTGATGCGTATTGGTCATTAATACTACCTAGTACTACATTCACGTCGAGAGATTTGCCTTGGCGTTCGTGTTGCGAATTTCTCGATGTTGGGTCCCCTTCCAGCGCCCTATTCCACCCGCTAGCACTGGCGTATTTTTTCATTGGTGAACCGGCTTTTTTTCTTGTTTTTTCTCCGATCATTGGACTCTGTCGTCTGCCCTTCTGGCCCCTATCCTCCACTTCTACCAGCTAGCCGATCCAACTGGGGTCACATAGGAGAGGGGACTTGGACCTCCTCGGTTATGTAGCGCGGTCAATTCTAAAGTCTTGTATGGTATTCCACGTACGGATTACTTTGCTGTAGAATGTAGACCACCTACACCGGGAATCCGGATTTCCGTAAATGCGTATCTTGGACGCGATTCGACCGCCATGTTGAAAGATTAGGAGAAACATCCAGCAGCTGCAAACACACACACCTTCTTCCTGTCGTCCATCTTCCTCTTCGCCAACGCAGTAGCGGCCTCGCCTATCGCCATGAGCTCATCCGGCTTCATGCGCTTCAGAAGGCTCAAGGCTTGCTCCTTGGGACCCTCCACCGGCTGGGGTGGGGCAAAAGCCGGCGCCGGCGGCAACCGATTCGCCACCCGCCGTCGCATGATCGCGACCGACCTTTCAGAAGCCGCCCGATCAGAAGCTGACGGGACGCTAACATCGGCGCTGGCATTACCACCCCGCCCACCCCCTGAACGCGTTTGCACACGGGGATGAGTTGCGCCACGTGGACCCGGTGCTCCCAGCACGAACCCAAACCCCACCCGCCTATTCGAGATCGCGGCCACGCGCGACGACACTGATATCGCGGAGGAGGATGAAGTGCGACGGTCAACATCAGGCTCTGCATCGGTCGACTCCTGCCTCCGCGCCCTTCCCCGTGGCCCTCCCCGAGTGGATGACATACTTGTAATGCTGTTGTGGGAGCTGGGAACGCCAGGTGTGGCGGCTCGGTTCATCCACTGCTGTTGTGCGCAGCTCGCGGAGGAATTCCGGAATTACCCCAACGGCAACCAAGAGAAAAAAGGTCGTCAGAGGTCTGTTGAGCACCTTTTCCGCAACGGTGACCACTCCAGCTTCTCGGGTGCCAATCGATCCTCTTCAAGTGGGCTATGTCTTTCCTGGAACAGCGTGTGCTCGTTACATGAGCCACGTGGGTGTTGGCGATGGCTAGTGACCACCGCGGCGACGCCGGCGGCGGACCGGGGGCACCGCAGCATCATTCAGAAATGGCACCCCTGCCTCCCACCGGACGGCGGCATCGATGGAAATGAGCAGACCAGTGCTGCACGGCTGAAAAAAAAAAAGCGGAGGAACAAAAACTATCGGTTTACACAGAAGGGCATCGTGACAGGCGTACATCCACCCAAGGCTAAAGGCTTACAGCAATAGAATATTCCAGCAGCTATCTAAGAAACCAAGTTTCGCCAATTTCCGTTCACTGTAGGCTTCAAACTTGGCGGCGCAACTCGCAGCCCTCTACCCAAAAAATTGTGCCACTCGTATAGACTAGACCAGTCTATTCGCGGCGTAATCAACCTGCTGTGCACCCGCGGCAAGGACCAAGCACGAGAACGCGCCGACCACGACAATATGCACCACGAAAGTTTGAAGCAAGATGAATTGAGCATCAAAGAGCATATTGCAAGAAAATTCAAATTCGGTCGAGAGGTAGGCACGGATGAAGTTAAAAACTTGCATTCGCATCCAGGCGTCGTGCTTATTATGCCCTGCCACGGTGCCGGCAACACCGAGCACTGGAAATGTTAGCTGCTGATGTGGTGGTTATACAGCACTTTGAATTGTGCTGCAATACGCACTACAGGTGGAGTTCTCTTGAATGGCGTCAGCTAGGTTTGAACTGAAATTGCTTCTGCTGGTGTTTGTTGCACCGCACACACAACGCTTGACTTGTGTCTGTTGAGTCACACAGCAGCGTAACTTTCCTGATTCCCCAAGAACAAAATGTAAGGAGGAGGGAGTAGTAGCGACAGTAACACGGCACCTACAGTAACAGTGAGTTTGGACACTAATAGCGTTGTGCTATCTGATGTCGCACGCAGGCACGGTCGGCATATATTTTTGCGCACATTGAAACATTTCTTCTCAATCAAAGTTAAATAAAGGATACGCACTGAGCGTTGGTTGTGTCGAAAACGCGAGGGAATACTAACACACGGACACCGCACACGAGACCGGGCCCCTAGAGTTGCCCAAGCCTATCGACAACAAGCCCGAACTGAAGGATATACAACAAATTCTTTACATTACAGTCAGTACATACAAACCACACAGGCCCGAACGCACAAAGCACCCCAATAAATAGGTGTCAGGGAGTGTGCCGATTAAACGCGAAGCACAAATTACCATGCCAATAAACAACGGACACCCAGCCTGGCCGAAAAAAAGAGACCCCCCCGTCCGTCCGTCTCCCTGCGCAACTAGATACAATAATTGGCCGGGCGAAAACGTGCGCTCTTGCCGGCTGGTCAGCATTAGGCTTCTTCTATTCCTACGTCTGATATCTCGTGCCCCCCGTTCGTCGTTCTTGATGCATGAATGCATCCAACGGAAGTGAAGCACGGGCCTGTTGAACCACCACCAACGACGCGCGAAATGTGTCATAGAAAGATGAGGCTAGAATAAATCATTACACAGCGACCTTTCGGTACGATGTGGAGAACTGACATGCAAGAATGCCGTGCACGACCTCCCCAACCCCAAGAGCCATGTATCTCAATGAACGTAACACGCACCTGCCTGAAGAAGTAGCCAGATCTCAGTTCCAGGCGTCGAGTACGAGATCCCCAACACCATCATCTGTGTCTCCGTCACTCCAGGCCCGGTCGACGCTCTTCTCGCTCAACACGTCAGATTCCCCATCGCTGGAGCCAGACACGTCTGTGCCCAAGTCCTTCGCCACGAACTCCACACCCGCACCCCAGTACCGCCTAAGCATCGCCTTGGCCATGTGCAACAGCAAATGCCAATCGCCGGGGTAGCGACGGACTTGTCGGTACTCGCGCGACTCCTGTGCCATGACGTGGTACATGTGCTTGCATGTCTCCTCGTCCCCACCGAGTCTGAATGGTGCACCGTTACCGGCTGGGGCTCCCCACGCCAGATACCAAGTATGCGCTGAATGGCTGCCTTCATATCGCTGAAGCTCTTGGTGGAACCCTTCTGGATGAACGCGTATCGCAGTTGCTGCGGTGATTTGCCCTCGAGCGTGATCGCCTGGGCGTTTGAAGAATAATACGGGGGGCGCGACTCAGAATGGACGAACACGCCATGTATCGTTGCGAGATTACCGTTCAATCGCAAAACGCTAGGTCGTGGTTTGCCGAAATCGCAGGAATACAAGAATGGGAAAGAATGGTCTCTTACCTTGATGAGTTCAGACTCCATGCATGTGTCTGGCCCAGATCTTTCCGAGTTGTTCCGCGCCTCAGCAACCACGCTGCGGTAGAGTTTCACCAAAAAACCGTTATACCGCCGTGCTCCGTCTTCCCGGTCCGGCTCCGGCCCCATCATGACGTCCTCCACCGTAATAGATCCCCGGCTCTTTACCAACGAACAGTCGTCCATTCCACCTACGTCGGGCCCTACCGTCAAGGCTGTCGCAGCGATGAAGGGAAGATGAGGTCCCTCTCCCTGGCCAACTACGACCCTCGGATCAAAATCACAGTTGTCCAGGGGGATGGCGGCGCACTCTGCGTCCTGGCTTTGAAGGTCCTTGTCGTCTACGAACCTCGCGTGGAAATCTTCTCGGTGCTGAATTTTCGACGTCGTTGCCCACAAACCGTGCTCCGCCACAAAGTTGATCACCTCGCGACACGTACCCTTTGACTTTGCCCGCTGAGCCCCTTTGATGTCGTGGGAAGCCATGTACCTACCTACAAGATGGCGTTCACCACCACCGTACACATCACTACAAGTCTGCGATGCGTAGATCGCCTGTCGCGGTTAAGGCTGTCGATATGCCTGGCCTGTTCCTCGGTCCGTGGACCTAACGACATCGTCACTGCTCCTTGACTGACCTCGTTCCTCTTTTCTCGTTCACCGTCCTCGCCCTCCCTGCCGCCCGAGGTGATAGGGTGCCGTCGGTCTCACCCTGCGATCTGCCACACCCAGGGCTTCCCAGGATCCTCGGTCTCTGATGCGGTGATCTCGCAATACAGGGCCATATCCGTCATGCTTTGGTACAATCCAACCAAGGCCGGAGGAAACGTGGATAGTAGAGTCTCCCTTGGGGGCTTCACTTTCATGGCCAACTCATCGGCGTAGCGATGCTTCTCGCGTGTCCCGGGGGTGTTTTTGAGGGCAGGCTCACTCTCCACGTCGGCTCGAACAATTCTACCAGCTGCTTGCACGACATACATCCTTGCGTCTGTGTCCTCCTTGTCCTGCTCGACTTGCCGCAGGATCGACCCGTCCTTATCCGCTAGCTGGTTGGATTGTGACTGTGCGGGTGCGTTAAGGCGAGCACGCAGCAATAAGTCAACGAGATGCAGCAATTGAGTTTGGGAAGAGGCAGATCTCCCGCTCGCGTGCGTGTCCCTTTGCTCCGTCGACTCGAACAACTCGTGAATTGCTCCCGGGCGCCGCGGCTATGCTGTTGAACAAGTCCAGGACGAGGTGTCTTGCATATTTTTCTTTCATCTCGGGCATACCTGTAGTTTTCCTCCTCCGCGACCTTGCTCTCAAGATTGGGTAGACACCCACCCGTAACACTATCAGAGGGCCTCCTCCTTCTCCGTTTCCTGCCCGACCGGGTCTTTCCTCCCGTCCGACGGACACGTGCTCCGGAAACTCCCGCGTCGCGCTTTGTCGCGGCGATGGGGGTGCGCACCCAGGTGGTTAGGTTGCCCTCTCTCCTGCTCCCGCTCGGTGAACTTTCACTTGTGACGTCTCCCCCTGTGTTGTCGACCACTGGTTGACGCGGGGTTAGCGTGCCTTCCGTGAGCTGGCGAAGGGTTAGTATCGACTGCATACCGACGCTTCCGGGTGTAGCAGGGCTCCCAGCCTGGTTCCGAGGCACCGCCGGTGGCGTACCCGGTTGAGCTATTGGGCTGTTCACCCTACAAGCGCGTTGGCCCCGCCTACGTCTCCGACGGTGCATCTGGCAGGAGCTCGACCTATGCTGGCCGTGTTTCCATGCACGAAGTGCCTGACCAGGGTGTACAAAAATGATAACAATGTTACGTTGCACGTACAGCTTACGTAGGCGCATGCCTTTTCGTGGTCTGGGATCTTCGTTGCCTCGTGACAGCCGTACATAACATCTGATCCTCTGCATGGACATGCTTATTCACCTGACAACGTCACGGACTGAAACCTATTGAGCTACGTAGATTGTATACGCGCCTGTGAGATGCTGTGACCTTATTCTGTCACGGTCTTGGAGTGTCTGTACCAAGCGCCGTAGGTCATGTTCGGCTCGTACTGGCAAAACAATGAGATTAATTGAAGTTGGAGAAATCGTGCTTCCCAACTTAAAGCCCAAATTGGCTGAAACTTGTGATAGCCTGACACTGAGGTGGAATTATTGTATCGGGTATTTGCATCGTATCTTGGGGTGGGAATAGTGTATCCAGTGGATCTACATGCGCAACGTGCAAGAGGGTGCGTTCGGACCCAAGGCGTGGACTCTCCCGATTTTGTATTTTGAACACACCATGCTTATCCCCTGCCGCACATAAATCGCCTCAAACCTTTGGCATTACGTGGCAATACAACCTAGGTACATGGCGGCAGCATTATTAGGCTGAAAAACAACTACCTCGCGCAGAGGTCGGTTCGTGTGTGAAGCTCCCTCCCTCATCCTGGAGCTGCTGCATGGTGGTACGCTCTAGTTGAAGTCCAACTTTTTCGCCCTACCGTGCGTAACTGGCCATAAAAAACATACCCTAATTTGCCCTGGCATCTTGGTTACATAACTCTCTTGAAAAGTGGACAGTTAAGCCTCTCGTTCGCCCTCTCAAGCCGGTGCTAGGTGCGGAGATCTGTTGCCGAGTGAGCCGCCTGATCATAAGGGCTTACACAGGGGTTGCTTTCCCGTTGGAAGCTTTTTTTTGCCTACTTTTTTTTTTCAGCCGTGCAGCACTGAGACATGTTTTTGATCACGGTGATGTCATGTGCACGGATATGCTTGGTGTCTTTTGTGTCTTGAAAAAGCACACAACCACACCAAGTACACGTCCGTGGCCCGAAGGCAAATCAACGAGGTTCCAGCTTTGTACAGTGGTCTAGAGGTATCTAGCCAGAAGAAAAACGTTGTAGACTTCACAAACGAAAAGCAGTAGTCTATGTAACCTATTTCGCCGGTGTCCACAGGGCTCCAACTGCCCAATTCCTTTGAATTTGGCGCCCTTGGATCTTCCTTGGTGCTACCCCTGCGGGCGAACAAAAGAGAAATCTGGTCATCATCATCTCTGCCATTGTATTATCTTGGTTATCCATAACCAACCATCTAGATGAGCATTGAAATACTGCTCCCTTTGGCGGTGCCGCTGAAGTCTTTTCACGGATATGTACCACCACCACACCATCAGAGGGGTCAACAATTGGTTTTTACACAGTCGCAAAAAACAGCACCACAACAGCGCGACTGCTGTTGTTGTCTATGGAACACCGGTGTACATACCACCGGTGTACATACATTGTTGGAAACCGTCCCACCCACCCCCGACCCGCTACAACGTGATCCCGGACGTGCCACCAAGAACAGCTGCCACACCGACGAAGAAAAAACACGAAAACAACACCTACTACTACTGTGAACACTCCACCTCGAGCAGCAACGCTTGCTTGTCGACGTCAACGTCAACCACAAAACAGCCTGTTTCTGAACTGAACGTACTCCTCCCCACCGGTAAGTCAAAGCGCTGCACGGCGAAGCTAATAAACACCATCGCCTGTGCATCGCCCAAAGATATCCTCCCACAACTCGCCCTCATCGTTGGGCGCTGTCACGTCCCCCCACCCACCGTCAAAACCCCACCGTCAAAACTGAGTATCACAAAAGAAGAAACCGCGGGTGTCTCACGCCCTCTTCTTTGCACCCTCCTTGTTCGATCTCGCCAACCATCTTGGGCGCATCCTCGGTGTTCGGACTCAACTAAGCTGGTCTCGACCCCGTTCATTACTCCTTGTCATGCATGGTACACCGGAGGGGAGCAAAAAGGGTAACGGGTCGCTACTTCCGGGCAACCAGTCGTTGGTAATCTCCATTCTCCTTGACCGGCTCTCTAAATACTTAATCTTTATGCCTTTCCATCTACAAGCATACGAATGACCCAAATCAAAATTTGTAGAGTGCACCAATACACAAGAATTTTCCCACTGTATCGGCTTAGTCTAGATTTACATGCTGGAAGTGTCGACGGCGCTTCCCCATCTCGGCAACATCATAGTTGCATCTTCGACCATCCTCCACACCAAACGACGCCTGCACTTAGGCGCAATGGCTTCTTGCTCCTTGGAGACATATCCAAAACAAAATGTTTCCTGCGTCAATGTAATCGATCTAACTAGCCGTCGTCCCCGTCGTCGCTATCAGACCCGCTCGAGCTTTCGCTGTTGCTGAGACCGCTGCCGCTGAGACTGCTGTTGCTGTCCTCGTTGCTAACGTCGGAAAGGCTCTCACTGCCGCTGCTTTCCCCCTCAGCTTCGCTGTCACTGCTTGGGTCGGCGTCATCCGCCCGCTCCTCATCCCGGTGAAATCTGTGCAGTTGTTAATCGAGCGGAATATGTAGTCAGCCAGCTTTAGCCTAGGGATTATGCGCAGGATCAACGACAACACGGTGTCGCTCGAGGAGTTTCGACGCCGCACACAACAACTCTTCGCTCGTCGTGATCTCCTCGCCTTCTAGACCTACAGAAGGCCTAACGTAGCTCAAATACATGGGATACCGACGTTAGAGTTGCGTCGGTTACTGGCAGTGCTGTGGCATTGTTGTATCGTCTTGTCGAGGCGTACAATAGCTCTTCGCTGCTGATGGAATCACTTGAAGAAAAGAAATGGGACTGTGCAATGTGGCGCGACTTGGGAGGACGGGATGATTTCTCGTGGGGTACTTTTACCCCGGCACCAGCGAACACTGTCCGTCCGACAACAGACTACATGACACCGCCGACAGAAAGGACGCCCCCAAGCCAGCTCCCCAGCCTTCGTTTACACTGAAGGCACGCTAGAAAAGCCATTGGCCACGCAAAAACAAAGGGCCATTATCCGCACAACTCATACTACTCAATATCTCCAACTTCCGTTCTATGGAGTGCCATTGGAAGCGTCATCATGTACTAAAACATCACGGAGGGCACTTTCGATATGTCTCCATTGCGGGGATAAAGCGTCCCGCCATGTCCGCACCTACGACATTGGAAATCTACCCATCCTTACAGCATGGCCGAAACCAGCCTCATGCCGGAAACGGCCATTGCTAAACGACAACCTCACCGTATTGTGGCCTGGGTACCCTTCCGTCTGGTCTTCTCGAACATCATCGGGGAGTTGCACATGTCACATGTACCCTGCGAGTTGGTCACGTGGCAAATTTTGGAGAACACGCACGCCGAGTGCGCCTTCTGAGGTACGGTGCAGCGACATCTCCAGCTGACCACTCCGAACTTGGTTGTGCCGATGTTGTTCAGAAGGGGCTCCAAACAGATGTAGCAATCACCCACCAGCTCGACAAAGTCGTCGTTCTTCGCCACGAAAGCTGCAACCTGCGCGAGCAGAGTTGGTGCAGAGCGAAAAGCGTGGTTACAAGTGCAGAGTGAAGAACATGGTGACGACGCCCATGCTGTTTATAGCGTAGAAACGCTCGATGAAAGCGGGCTCGAAGAGCAGTGCATCCTGACCTTCGCGGACTCATCCCCCGACATCATCCAAGTGCGAATCGATCATCCTAGGCTGCTGCTGTGTTCGGCATCTACATAGGCAAGGTATCATTCCAACTTTTGCCGCGTGGAAAGGGTATCGGGCGCACACATACAACATCATCTGTACGATTCATCGCGCACAAGCTCGAATGCATAGCTTCAGCTGTTTTGCGTCTGTTCAAGAAGTGCGGTCAAACGTCCTTCGGGCCCAAGAAACGGACAGAGAGAAATTCGAGAAAGGAAGACTCTGCGATCTGCATTTGCACATTTAATATTACTTGAGCACTGCTCCTCATAGCCTGGTAAAGAAAAAATGAAGACCCTAAACAAATTACTAGTAAGCATTTCCAGATCCGCCGATGCTCAGCAACAATTCCATGCCGTATTGCGCCCGGGCAAGACACCTCCGTCAAAGCCCATACCAAGTGCAATTTTTTACCAACCGGGCCTTCGATGGCTATAGACATTAAGTAAAAACGAAAAAGTTGAGGAGGAGGACCATTACGATCCCACTCGAGCCCCCCCCATGTTTACCCTCTGCTGAGTTTTCCTGGGTCATCATACCGTGCTCTTCAAACAGAAAACGGTGTTGCGGGTGTTTGTTGGCAATTTTCCAGCACTCGAAAATCGGTACACTAACGCTATTTCCACATGAAAACAACTCTCTGACCTCTGCCTAGGAGCCCCTCTTCCTCACTGCTGTGCAGACGCAAAAATCGAATTTCGGTTGCCTCATGAGGACCTAGTAAAACTCTGGAAAAAACAGACCCAGTGTGTGTCCCACCGATCGTGCAGAACAACACAGTACCACTGCAGCTGTTCGTAAGCACTTCCGAGGGACGAACTGCAGCATGGGGTAAAGGTGCACCCTGAACACAAAGAGGAGCGCCCCTTGATCTACTCGCAAGACAACACCAAGCTGTGCATAAGCTATTCATCAACAGGGCCATACACAACGACGACTACCGGGAGGCCCTATCCTCGGATCCCTAAGAAACCGTGGAGTGTTCCATCGCCGGATTCTGTGTTAGCCGACCAGGCAACCATACCCCACGCCCCGGGATAGTGACGAAGGGCTTGGACTTCGAAAACAGCCGCAACAAAGTGAACCATGTAAGTCATGCACGAGACGAGACCGCCCCGCCCTGGACAGCAATATCTCTACAGACCCCAACTTTAAAAGTGAGCTCTGTGTTGGGTTTGGCACGAACCAGGCAAACATCCCCCAAGCAACCAGGTTTGAGGGTGTGAGGGCGGTCAGGCAACACAGGCGGGCCACATGACGCTACTCCTGCAAGTAGGCAAATAGCTCAACAGATACGGGAGAGAAACAAAACACAAATGACGTCAACTCAAGACACGGGACCAGGCCAAACCCAGCCACAAGTGACACAAAACAGGCCCGACGAGGAGGATAATCAAAACTGCGGGTCAAATGTAGGGACCAAACTACTTCGACTAGAGATGTGGGTCCTATTCAATTGTTCGGTGGGTGACCAGACGATTAACGCCCGAAGAGCCGATCCGTGTGCGGATGAAAAAGACGTGCTTGTCCTTGTTTCACGGCACCAGTCATGTCGACATGCACGGAGCCCGAGCAGAGGTGAGCTATGAGAGCCCAATGCACAGGAGACTCCGTAACTCCCAAATCATCAGATCACACACGTACCAACCCCCTTCGTGTATCATGCCGACCGCCACGTACACCAAAGAGCTCCTCTATGTAGAATCTGAATCCTTCCCTTTTCCGCGATTCCGTTCTCCAGATTCGCCAGTAGTTCTTTTTCTGCTCGATTTACCTCTTGGCCTTTGACTCGCGGGGCCCAGCAAACGTCCCACTTCCAACAGAACACCTGTGTACCACGGTTCTCCGTCCTCCCGGCACCCCGCCGTTTCCAAGCGAGCAGATAGGCTTCGTTTTCCCGCCGTTTGGCGGCGTAGAATTGTGTAGAGCTCCGAAAGGCTTTGGAATTCGTCCACCAGGCTGTCTAATGGTTACTGCACCGGATGGCCGGGCCCACAGCCGCACCCGATGGCCGGGGGGGGTCTTTGGGGTTTCCCAAACATCAACCGCGTTGGTGGTTGCTTGCCTCCCTTGTCCAGCATTGCCCCCCGCAAACAAAAGCTATGGCCGGCTGAAAGTCGCTTCCAAACTTTGCCCCGATAAATTGAGGGCTTCAGCTTGCGGTATGTGGCGTAGAATGCCGTGAACGCGGCGATGCCCGTCACTGGTGGGGGGAATTTGGCCCGTCTACCAAATGTGCAGCACGCCCTTCTCTATCTCTACCTGCAGCATCCGAAGGTTGAGCTTCATTGGCGCGCTTGGCTGATCGATGTTCCAAGCAGAACTTTGCGAAGCATGTCCAAGCGATTCTGGCGCGGCGATCTGCCTTGCGCTTAAGATCGGCGTCTTCGCTGACAAGGCCGTTCGGGGGTACGAACTGAACGTACCGGGCTCCATACTTCAGTTCGGCTTCCGTGATCCCTAGCGCCGGCAGAGCTGATGTGAGCGCCTCCGTAGGCATCTGAACTTTTCCAGTGCCTGAATCAGGAGTGGCTTCGTCTTCTTCTGCAACCCTGTCGACGCAGTTAAGTCAAAACACCCAAAATTCAACAACATAGCCGTCATCGTTCTAGGGACCCCTGATCTGGACACGACCCCAGCATCGTCGGCGTATTTCGTCCCCCATTACGTCCTCCTCGGCCCGTTCCACGGTTGTCTCAGGGTCGCCCTCGTCTCTTCGTCGAAAACACCAGGCCCGCATGGAACTTGTCACATTCGCGGAAACGTCGTCGAACTACCACGTCCATCGCCATGACCTCTTGTTATTTTTCGTATTGCCGTTGGGGCCGAATAGTTTCCCATCCATGTCCCGTCATAGTCCGCTTTAGCCAGCCGATCTCGGTAGCGGGCGCAAGGCCGCGTATCGCGGTCGTAGCCAACGCGCGTGGGCGTGTCAGCACCTAGTCGGTTCGCTTCAAGTCGCTAGCACGGTCCCCGATGACGCCGTTGGGATTGGGCTCCCCTTGCATCCACACGTACGAGATTGTCAGGATCCGTTTGCACCGAGCTCTTGATGTTGTACGAACGAGAACGTTCGTTCCATGTCATGGTCGCTGGTTTCCATTTTGGTGCGTATGTACCCTACCAAAACGGCTGACGGTTTGGTGCTTATCATTCGAAGGGTGTTCTTCGGCGACATGCGTGTCAATTCTTCGATCGCCAGCCGCACGCCTTTTTGCCCACCTTCAACGCACCCGCTGCAGAACACGCATGAGAGACTATCCAACCTGATGGCTCTTTTCCTAACACGGTCAATGTTTCGAGTCGTTGCTGCTGCCTCATGACTCGCAACCTGCCCACGCCCACAGCCCTCCCCGGCGTTTACGCAGGAGCTCCCGACCTTGCAAACCTCTATGTTGACCAATGCCGCTTTGTGCTCCCCCGGTGATAGACGTGTAACTGCCCTTGCAAGCCTCGGCCTTTCCTCCTCCCGCCTCCCCCCCCCCCCCCCCCNNCCCCCCCCCCCCTGCTCCACTACAATGTATGACACGCAAGTTGGTCGGCGCTTGCTTGCGGTTGATCTCTGCTGTGGTTGTGAATAACAACATTGCACCTTGGAGGAAATGTTCTGGTGTCCATTTTTTTTAGAAAGGTGTACCCCCCCTTTTGCGGCAGCAGTTGGCTTGTGACCACCGAAGGCGTCCGTGTGAGTTGGACCAGTACGTACGGACATTAGAAGGTACTGAGCGGAGACCGGGACGGTTGTTAACGTGACAACAACAACAACAACAACAACAACAACAACAACAACAACAACAACAACAATATAACTTCCCCACGAACACGATTCCCCTCCTCGCGCTCTTGCTCGAAGCCACGCCAGGCACAGCCCCTTAACTCTTCCAAGGTTCCCACAACGACCTCCGATGCTGCTTGNCTTCCCCACGAACACGATTCCCCTCCTCGCGCTCTTGCTCGAAGCCACGCCAGGCACAGCCCCTTAACTCTTCCAAGGTTCCCACAACGACCTCCGATGCTGCTTGGCTCCGGCGTCCACTACAACGGAGCCTGTGGAGTAGACACTGCTGTACAGTAGATCCCGAGCTCACGGCGAGGTCGCCTACAGCTCAATCCCTTTGACGAGGCCCCGGTTGGTGTGTATCTGCGCTTGTAGAAAGGTCTACGGGTATTCAACGACCATAGGCGGTTCCAGCCCCAGACAAGGGGCAGCCCACAGGCGGAGGTTGGTCACACGCAACACAACACGAAGACACGTGTTGGTACGTATTCCTACTCTAATACAAAGGCACAGCAGATTGCACTTCCGAAAACACAACCTTCTGTTTGTCCCATTCTGAAAATCACACCTACCCACCTTTTTGTTGTCCTCCAGCTTTCTCTTCTCCAGAATCATGGCAGCCTTGCTGATTTTTCTCAGCTCGGCTGGTTTCATGTGCTTCATGAGGCGGATTGCCTCCTCGCTAGCCGACGGTGGCGGCCGCTTCCTTTGCTGCCTCGCTGCTGCTATTGCTGTTGACATGCTACTTATACGCTACGTGTGCAGTAAAAAACGCTGTGCTCGTGCTGTGACGGTAACACGTAGCAGCCGTCTTCTCAACAAACCGCACCCAGCTCCTCAGACTCTTCTCGGCTCCCTTGCAGAGAGCTTCGGTACCTCGCGGGAGGTGTCTCGGGCGTGTGTGTTTCTCGACTGCTGTTCGATCACAGCGGTTGCCGTTGTGGTGTAAGTGTGCATGGGTCGTTAACGGGGGATACGTGGTATCATTTCACGGTTGACCCCCTGCCCAACGGCTGAAATCCAATTCGTCCGCGCTACGTTGCACTGAAATCCAAATTGATCACACCTATTTTCCTAAGATGCCTGCTCCCCACCTTACTCACTACCCCGGGGGCAGCTGGTTCTAAATGAAGAATAAGAGTATTAGGGATTATCAACCAATAATTTGCAAACTCAAACGCGCGCGGCTGAATACACCGTAGGATTGTTACTTGAAGCAAACTTTGTGGAACAACAAAAATGGTTCCGAACCACGAGTTGCCGCCTCTGCACCTCTGCTACCGACTATACTGCAATCAAGAGCAATGAACCCACAGCAGTATAAATGCCTGCCTCATCCGGTGGTCGCCTCTTGTTGTCTGTGTCGCGCGATCAGGTCGTTTGGCCAATTTCCCGCAGCAAATACTTTGCTATGCGTGTGGTACAAGCATGCCCTGGTGAGATATCCTCAGGCGCAATATCACGCTTCGTCACTAGAAGTAGCTGGGGTGCGCCACTGGCGATTTTAGTGCCAAATGCAGGGGGGCGGGGGCGGTGCGAATTCACAAAAGCGCATGTAGTGAACAAGCCAACAAACCGGCACCTTGGGAAGCTAAGGAGGGTTCGGCAGCTTGCGACAGCATCGTAAGGGGGCATCGCGAACCCTCCGCTTCTACGGCAGCGGCGGGGGCGGCCACGCGCAGCCGGCGAGAGGCGTGGCTCGGGAGAGGGTCGCGGCCGCGGCCGTTGTCATCATCAACGGCGGCAGCAGACTGCTGCAACCCATGACCCAACCCATGACCACAGGCAGCACCACTTTCGCCTGTGTTGTCGTATCTCGCGGGTCGGCGATGGCCCCTCGGCGGCCTGCCGCCGGTAGGTCCGCTGTTCTCGTCGCTCTGCATGTTTGTACGCTGGCGCTGCCGCCTGCCTGAAGGCTGTGGTGTGTAAATGCTGTACGTTTTCAAACCGAAAAGTCTGAGAAATTCAAAAAATGGACCGCCTGA